ATTATTTTGCTCTTTATAAATATTTTCTTTACCATTCTTTAAATAAAATAAATTAATAAAAACAAAATAAATATTTTTGTCCGAAGCGTAGCGAGGACTTACATGTACAAATAACTCTTACAAAAAGTTCGTCTGTCCAGCACGTGACTAGTTTGTGATTGGTTGCTTTACCTAGACCCCACTAGACATTTGATTACAAAACGTCCGTCTGTCCTGCACGTGACTAATTTGTGATTGGTTGCTTTACTTAGATCCCATTAGACATTTGATTACAAAATGTCCGTCTGTTCAGCACGTGACTAACTCATGATTGGCTGCTTTACCTAGCCCCATTAGACATTTGATTACAAAATGTCCGTCTGTCCGGCACGTGCCTAGTTTGTGATTGGTTGCTTTACCTAGACCCCACTAGACCTTTGATTAAAAAATGTTCGTCTGTCCGGCACGTGCCTAAATCATGATTGGCTGCTTTATCTAAACTCACTAGCCATTTGATTACAAAATGTCCATCTGTCTGGTACGTAATTAATTCGTGATTAGTTGCTTTGCATAGACCCTGGGAATTGCTACAGAAACAGCCTTATCGATACAGCTAATGACGAACACTAACCTTAATGACACAGCATGGCCAACATTATCGTTAAGGTTAGTGTTAGAATATAGCAAAGTTAAGAAATTAGATCACGTGTTGCTGTAACAACCCGAAAATCACCAGTCTAAAAAATTTCGCAAACAATCAGATTTCAAGAACTTGTGTAATGCAAAGAAAGCGCAAAAGAATCAAAATAACAAAAAAATGCCTATAGCTTAAATTTTTGCTTATAAAAATGCCTTCTGCGTATTAAGAAAAAGTTTTCCTCATGAAATTTTACTATATCTATAACCCTCTAAACCAAACGCTAACCTACTAGTAGGACTCTAACCCTAAACTAATAGTGAAAATTTTTTTTTGATATGTTAATGTTAGAAAATGCTATATGATCATATGATTTGCCAAATTTTTTTGCCTGGTGATACTAGTCTCATATGTTGCTGTGTCTGTAAAAAATGTTGGACCATCTACAGACACATACTGATACATATCTATTTCTGTACTTACCCTAAAGTTAGAGTATGTGCAAGTTATATGAATTGGTACGTGTTCGTAGATCGTCCCAAAAAACGTCATTCTTATTGGGCGATAACTTATATCAGCGATTTTCACATGCACTTTTGCAATACATATCACTCTCGTTATAGTGATAGTGAACTTTCGATGTAGTAAAAACTTTTTAAATACATAATTATTAAAATTCGGTTTGATATAGTCTAGTATATACAGTAATCGTTCATTATAAGCTATAGAAAAGTTTTTTTTTCTGGCCCAAAAACTTCATTATAACGAGTGTAATATGTATAATACTTTTTTCTTAATTACATTTTTCCGAAGCTTTTTTTCATAAATAAAGATAAGTTTTGTGAATTATAACGAATTATGTGCAGTAACCATTATGTTATTAAAGAAACTAATCGTTCCTCTTCACTTTTTCTATTCTGTAATCTTGTAGAATTTCTTATACGTTGAAGTCTTTCAAATAAGAAAGGATGAAAAAGAATATTTTTGAGGGAGCGAACACGAGATATTGCTACAAATGAGAGGCCTGTAGCATATTCTCTTTCTCCGAGATCTACTATAGCCTTCGGAAGCGTTAATCCCTGACTCTTATGAACTGTAATTGCCCACGCAAGATTAATGGGAAATTGTAAGCGTGAACAAACTATAGATTTTGATTCCCAAGTTTGTCTTATAGGTAATATAGGGACAAGTCTTTTGTTTTCTACAGTTGTAATAGAAGGGCTATTGTAATTGTCGAATTCAACAAGAACCGCACTTGGGAGAAAAGGTGGGCATTTGCCTTCTTCGAATAATATTTCTTGAATTGTTCCCATTGAACCATTGACTAATCCTACCTCAGTCCATAAGTTAGCCCTAAGCATAATGCGTGCACCTCTTGCGAGCAACAAGCATGCTTCAAGACCTTTTGCCATATTGGAATCTGCTCTAGATGCCTCACAACCACCTAAATCATGTATAGCACGAACTTTGGCGACAGGACAGTTTAAGGATCTAAGCTTATTAAAGTTGACTTCATCGACATCAACTTTTCGAGGTAAAAGAGATGTAGCATCTAAAAATAAGCAATTATCTACATCTGGTGAATCAGCAAATCGAGTGGTAAGTGTTTTCCAGTCATCCATTGTAGTTTCTCCATCACGTAGCCGTAATAAAATATCTCTGAAATGGCGTTGATCTTCTGAATCACCAGATTGTCATTCAACAGCATCAAGTTTATAGATTTCTCGAAACTGCTTGTATGCGATTATACCATTATTTGATAATGGACTACGTCGGAGAGTTTGAAGAAACATGGGATCGTCAAGTACTGGTGGGAGCTGTCCAAAATCGCCAATAAGAATTATGGATCGGCCACCAAAAGGCTGGTCTTTTTTTTCAGGGAAAGCTTGGCGTAACTGCATGTCAATTAAGGCGAGCATTTTTTGTCCGACCATGCTTTTTTTATCGATGACAATATATTTTATATTCTGTAATTTTTTTTGCAATTGTTTCAGTCACTCTCCACTTATATCAAAGTTAGTGCTATTTACAGAGATAGAGAGTGCTGAGTGGACAGTGGTTCTATGGATGTTGAATGCTGCAATCCCTGTTGGCGCAATCACAAGTATAGGTGATTTAATATTGGCATCATGGTACTTTGTTATTTCTAGAAGCCTATGCCAAATTGTTAAAATCAGGTATAATTTTTCGGTTCCAGCAGTTCCCATGCTAATAATTCTTAGAGGTTCAATGTTGTTAGAATCTGTAATTGATGCAATATAATGCCCTTCGATCCATTTAAATATTAACCTCTGCTTATCATTTAAAGTTTGAAAATCAACTGTATTGACAATTAGATTTTCAGCATCTATATTGTCTTCGTTGCAGACTTGCTGTAGGAAATTAGATACATCTGCAATGTTGATATTCGGATGACGTTGCCTGAAATCACCAACCCAGTCATAGTTTCTATCCATTTCATGTGAGCCCAAGTCTGAATAATTATCAATGGATGTATTTGGGCCCATTTCCATCAATAACATCCACTCAGATCTTATTTCTTCATATTCATCATCTTGTTGTTCGTCATCTTCATCACTAAACTCATCCTCTATACTATCCATAGGAGAACCAAGTAAATCAACAGGATCTCTTTTAATTTCTTCAAAATAATAATTGAAAAGGTCTGTCCAAGAAAGCGTATCATTCATAGTTAGCTGCTGTAGGCTTCTATGACATACATGGAGCAAAACTTTTAAATGGCAGAATTCTTCCCAATGAGGACCATTTTTCTGGAATGACGGTCAAGGCCAGATGCACACTATATTTTCACGTTTACATGGTTTCCAACTGCTGTTTAAAAATTTGTATTTTAAATAGAGTTGATAAAGTGTTATGTCTTCCAGCTCATTAGGTCGATTCCAATACTTTTGCAGGAGCGATTGCATTGTACGTCCAACTTCTTCAATCCTTGAAAATTCGATGTCATTTCCAGCTCCACGAAGTAATTGCGGCGCGTCTTTGTTGAGATTTAGAGATACAAACTGGCGACTAGAATGGTAAAGTGGTATACTAAGAAGAAGGTGGCAGGTTTCTTGTGCAGAAATATCATGCTCTGCAACAGTGCGTAAAAGTAACTTCTGAAATGAGGCAAGGGACGAATCGTTGGGGTTGCTATTGGAAAGAATGCAATTCAATATATCTGAAAAAGCTTCAGATCGAGGTTCGGATTTGCTTGCATATTTAGAAATGTACTGAAGGGTGGCATAAGTGCTAAGAACTGGTTTTAAATCGACATTTGCATGCCATCCTTGAAGCTGAAGTCGATCGTGAGGATTGATATAAGAATCATTTCTTGCTGTTACAAGTTCTGGATGGCCATGATCATCATCTTGTATAAAGGTGTGTTCTACAATCTCTTTTGGATAGCCAAATCTGCAAGATTGTTCACCTGCATGATTATTGTGAAGACAATATGAAGCATTACACCTGGTATGACATTGTAATTTATTTATCAACTCAACATAATCCTGCAGGTCATCGTTTAATTCATTGTCACACTTTCGACAGGGATGCTGATCAGGTACGGGTGCATCCATTTCTGGATTTATTGTAGTGACCAAAGAATCTAGGTACTGTACTACTTTAGCCATCATTTCATTGTCTTCTTTCATTTTTTCCCAATCAATTATTGGTGCGTCTTTACGTATTCCAATGTCGTGTATATGAGCACTGTCATGATGTTGCCACTCAAAGCAATACCACCAGTCTTCCAAATTCCATTTAGGAATTAACACATCTTGCAAGAAATGTTTGAAGTGATTTTCAAAGAACCACACAGCAATGTGAGAATTATCAATTAAGTCTTAACGTCGACGCTTAGCTGAATCTTGTTCTGGCACTCTTAGTTGATCCTCACCATGTAGCATAAGTTTGTGAAGTTCTGGCCAATGTAAATCAGCTGCACTGAATGTAAAAAATATCATACCTTGCGATCCTAATTGTTTAATTATGTCTGACAATTCGACTCGTCGTTTAATCCAAAATTGTTAAGTTCCGCGCAGACTTTCTCCGTATCATATAACTTGATCGGCCAGATGATTATTTTCTTCAACCATTTCTTGTACCTCTTCAACAGTGAGCTGTTCGCTGTTTAAACTTTGCTTTACATAGATCCTTCCTTCTTGCAGCGCCCTTCATCGCATTTGTAAATTTAATGCAAAGTATCACCAACGAGTATGCCACGCAAACCTTCCATCTTTATATTTAAGCATGTGTTGGAAATATTCAGCAGGCTTTACATCTCTTACACGCTTTGCACGAAGGTCGGCGTTACCGGTTGGGTATTGCATTGAGAAGGCACGTGCAATATATCCAGAAGTACGAAATTCATTAACAGGGTTACTATCAATATTTGGCCATGCAATTGGTGTAGCTTTGTTTTGCATGCGAGCAAGTGCATTACTAATAACGTCATTTTCACTTTGTGATGAAAGAGTGATAGGAACGAAATTGTGTATAAGCGTATCTTCATTTTCAGTTTCGTCATCACTTAAATTTTCACCGTCGTTTTCATTATCATTCATGTGCTAGTCTTCTATGCTTTGAATCTGTTGAAGACAGGTATCGATAGGACCATTTTCAGGTAATGATTGCAGCACTTCATTGTCAATGATAATGTTGGTGTAATACCGATTGTTTGTTTTTAGCTATAGAAGTGCCCGTGCGACTTTGACACGACGAACTTGAAAATCTCTATATGATGAACCACTTGTTGCATGTCTTCGCACAACAAGTACATCTAATGATGATGGATGACAAGGGAGACGTGTTATAAATTCTCGTACATCTTGAGGAAAGTTAATAACATTTCCTCTATATGCATACTGCCCTCCACGGAGACAATATACTGAGATTATGGGAAAGATCTGTGCAATTAGCATCTCTTCTATCTTAGTAAGACCTTAAAGTTCTTCGAGCATATCTTCTGGATCCATGTTATTCTCTGCGGAAAACTTTTTTGGAACAGTCTTATCATTATAGCAACGACGGCACTTCCCTGTAATTAATTTGATAGATGGGAACCGCTCATTGCACACCGGACAAAGTTTATTCTCAAATTTATTTACATCATTTCAAAATTTTTGCAAAAGTTCTCGATCATATTCGGGAAGTGATGATGAAGGCATCCTATTATTATTGGTTTGAATTAAACTCATTAGACATGAACAACGCAATGATTCTAATACAAACATTTCTTGATATTCGTTAGGGCGCTCATCCACAGCTTCTAAAAGACATCTTTTATACAAAGCTTTTCGTTGGCGCTTTCATTCATTTTCTCTGTCCAGACGCGCTCTTCGTTGTTCTGCAGTTTCATTAGCCATTTTTTTACTTTTATTTTCACGATCACATGCACGCCGTTTCTCGCGCTGTTCAGGTGTTTCATTTTCTCTACTTTTGCGTTTTCTAAGTGCTTCACGTTCAAAGTAATCTGCCATCCTTTTCTTTATAAAATTTTGTGCTAAAATTTAATTATGAGAAATTTTGTTTTTTTTTTTGATTAATCCTCTGAAATACTTTTTACAAGAATATAACTTAACATCCATTTTGTTGGTTAATTATTCACGTGATAACGTGGTAAACGCGTTAGAGCCTCCCTAAACCGATATCAGTATTGAGAGGTTAACAAGTTTGAAGATATTATAAACTATTAGATTTATCTAGCATAAACAGACTTGGTAGATTAATTTCTTATCAGATTTGACAGGTTGTCGATTTTGACAGGATCGGTTTTGGGAGGTTCAACAGTACTATCTTTTATTATAGAGCAGGTGATCGTGTTAAAGATATATTCTTATTCTTATTTACAGGTAACTTATTACTTCACTAATAACTTTTAGATTTTTGTAATATTGAACAAAGTACTTATTAGATTTCATTTTGTTTAATTATTAGCATTATGCAAATCACGAATCTAAAAACGTTTGGCATACATAAGTCAGTCGAATTGAATTAAATTAAGTTTTATTGTTACTAAAAGTTAAATGTTTTACATTACATTTAAATATATAGTATGAAGAAAAAATTGCGTTTGAAATTTTTTTTTGAATTTTCTATATTAAAGTAATTGTATAATTTTAGTTATTTGTGATTTTTTTATTGATATGTCCGAATTAATCAATTTCAAAATTGATAATTTAATTATATCTCATGTATGTACTTAAAGAAATATTACTAACGGATAATGAACTTGTGGCTATATTAATAATATAAGTTTTATTGGAAAATATCGTTCTTTTCACTATAAAGTGCTAAATGTATCTGACTATTTACAAATGCTTGAGATGACCTGCTGCATATTTATCATTTGGTTTTGTGCTCTTCAATGTTTTACACCAACCGGGTATTATTTGAAATATGAAGGTTCTACTTCTCAAAATATAATGTGTAGTATCTTGATATAAATTTAATGTCACGAATAATCGTAAATCGAATGATGTACGACTTTTAAAATTTTTTATGAACTTTTTTGTCAGCTTTTTTTAATGGTTAAGTTAGAATTTAAGATCAGAATTATTAATAAAAGAATATAGGTAGATTTTGATAGTACTTATATTTTCAAATTGAAACCCCACCATCCAATTTTACGATTAGGGATGTCAACGGTCACATCGTTATAGGCAAATTGCCAAAGTTTGATATTTATAAATCGACTAAGTTGAGTCGATTACTCATTTTATATTAAATATCTATTTCCGAAATGTCTCCAATATTCATATTCTTTTTCCCGAAGTTTCAGATATTTCCTATATTCATATCATACAGAAGTTCGTCTGATTCGCTAATAAATTCAATTTAATTTTATTTATACAGTTTAGAGTACTTTTTAAAAAAATGAAAACCAACCATAATAAAGTAAAAAAAGAAACCATATAGAAGGTTTCATTAGAGTTGTAGGACTCCATAATCAAAAATAAGATCTAATTCTCGTTCGTTTAAAAAAATTAGCTTAGGATTTTATTGGGTTTTGAGAAGTTATTGCTATAATAATTTTTTTAAATGGACGAGAATTAGATCTTATTTTTGGCTAAGGAGTCCTACAGCTCTAAAGAAACCTTCTATACAGCTTCTTTTATTTCATTATGATTAGTACTCTAAACTGCATAAATAATGTAAAATTAAATTGAATTTATTAGCCAATCAAACAAAATTCTGCCTATGAATATTCATAATCCTAAATTGATCTTTTGGAAATCGCTACTAAGTCAACTTTATTGACTAACACCAAATCGACTACAAACACTACTTTATGGCAATCTGTGTCACATGAAATTGAATAACACGTTATTATTGCCTATTTGTGAAGCATGTGCCAATCAACCAATTAAATTACATCACGAATAAAGAAAAAATAGGTCTATAAATAGGGTCCTTAAAGCCGGGTTGAAAAAGGTACGTTTTTGATGTATTTAGAGTTACTTTTTGATATATTTAGGGTTAGTTGGTTATTCAGATATCAAGAATACAATTTATGCAGTATGTAGATCAATATATGAAATCTGCCCTGCTTTAAAGGACCCCTATAAATCCATTTGAGGATCTATCATTTATTATGACCAAAGCTCGTTATAAGACTCATTAATCTCTCTATATATATACGCATATAAAGTTTTAACCACTCTTATTACTAACTCTATTTTTATATATTGACATTCTTTATACTTTAAACCTCTAATATAACTTAAAAATCACAAAAAAAAACCTTTGTACTGTTAGTTTTTTTTTTTAAATAACAGCTGTGTTTAATGATTTAATAATTACATATAGCTCTATAGTAAGAAATTTTATCTTCTAGATAAGGTGTCGGATTATCTTGTATAGTGACAGTTGGTATTTATTCAAAAATAGTAATGAGTTTAATTTTATTTCTTAAAAAAGTACTTTAAACTTTATAAATAAAAATTCAATTTTAATTAGAAACAAAAAAGTTTTTTTATAAATGTATATATATAAAACTTTAAAAATTTTTGAGAAATCTTTATTATAAAAATTAAATTAATATTTGAAAATAAATATTCTTAACAATATTAAAGTTATATAAAAAAATTTCAAATAACTAATTAAAGAATTTTAATATACAAATATGTTATTATACAGTTAAAAAAATAATATATTAAGCTTCGGACTTACAACAGTTCCTGTTAACCTAGTAATAAATAATATTAAATATATATTTACCTTAGTAGTTTTATATAATTCTTCATATTCAAGAATAAAAGTTTCTAATATATCAGGAACTTCTAATATTTTTTTAATACAACTAATTAATGCCACATGGTATAAGAAATACTTAGTATTATTATGATCTAATACTTCAGTTTTCATATATGACAAGTTAGATTTCATAT